CCCCCCCCCCCGACCCCCCTCCAACTTAAATTATGACTGGTTCCTTAGTTTCCAGTAAAATTTAAAAGAAATGGTGACCACTCCTAGCTATTCTTCATTAGTAGATGACGTCTCACTAGTTCCCTGTAGTACAAGCTGGATTCGTAATGTTTGGAAAGTGGAGTGGAAACCATTGTCAAAAGTATAGAGGTATGATTTTCCTTCTGTGTGAAAGGATAAAGGTAAAAATAAGGTTCCTGGGACCCGTTTCTTGAAAGTCCCGGTAACTTTTCGGGCCCGAAAAGCTGTTTTTGTTACCTTGTTTCCGGTTCAAGATCAAAGTTTCAATAATTTTGAAATGATAGTTTAACAAAGAAAAATTGCCTGGTTTGTGTACCAGGAATTGTGCTTCTATATTCAACAGGTTTTGATTTTAAAATTTGCCTTGGTGCCCAAAAAGGTTACCGCGCCTTTCGCGAAACCGGCCCCTGTTTTTTAACTGACGTTTAAAGGGGATGTGTTACTACTTTCTAGCTCATTTTCCTATCATTGCCAATCATACGACTTTATTCGGATTGGAACTTATTGTTATTGATGAAATTAATGGCAAATTATAAAATAAAAGCTTCACCGTCACATGGAATGTGTCTCCAAAGAATTAAATCAAAAGTCACAGACAACAAAACTTAACTTTTAAAAAAACTGTTAGGCTCACAAACCATTCCACCTTGTTATGTCTACTTGAGATAGTTTCATTCTATTTACTGCGCGCGCTTTTCAAAAACACAATCTCTGAAATTCAAAAGCCAACTGACGTTTGCGCTTTTCGCTGCCGTCAGTCATCTTGGCGGACCTCTTAGGAAACAGAACTTTACTTAAATGAGTTCGAAAGGACGTGGTTTGTGATCTGTGATCGATGGATTTCGACCCTTTTTATGTGTCTCTGTGTTTCAAGGTTCGTTGCTTGTGATCGTAATTATGATTGACGGCAGCGAAAAACGCAATCGAGAAGGGGGATTTTGAACTTTTCGTTTTTCGAGTTCTCGTGTTTGTGAAAAGCACAGTAATAGTTTCGAAACAATTTTTTATAAACCCCGGTCTCGAATGTCAAAACGACAAACTTAACTTAAATCCAGCCGTCCGATCCTTGTAATTGCGTCGACTTTCGAGATGAGACTGCGGGTTCTAAGAAATTAATGTTCTCTATTTGGGGCATTGATTTTTGGTAACTTATGCCATCAGTAAAATTTTCAACTTCAGAAATTTGCTTCGGTTAACTTGACTTCCTTTTAGCCTTGTTGATACGCCCCTTAACTGAATCAAAGTAAAATTGACCACCCTATTCACAGATATCAAATGAACTTAACACGGATATTGAATGGTCATTGGACCATTCAATACTAGACAGACTGGATAGCTTCAGCTTGTTCCCTTGGTAACATAAAATGAGAAAGAATGCATAACACCACTTCTTCGTCAAAGATGGAATGTAATTTACTTAAAAATTGAAACGTAACATGCTTTCTAAACGTTTTTGAGGCTACCCCACTAGCTATTTAACACTGCAAAACTTCTTTTTGATTTGGCATTCGGCGATCCAGGGTCTGCTCAGTGACCCCAAAAGATATCAATTGCTTTCATCTTGAAAACCGTGGAAGCGAATAGACCTGAAAATCAATGGAGAATTTCATCAGAATAATTAAATACTTGGTTTTGCTTTGCATTCGCAAAACTGCATAATAACAGGCCTTTTTTATCGAGAGCATTCAAACATATGAGTCAGTTAATTCCTAGGGAACTGTAATTGATATTGTTTGCATTTTCAAAGCTTGTAAATTAGTATCTTCCAGTGATTTCAGTGTCGTCATCGTGATTTAACCCGGTTATATTGTTCTTGACCATGTCACCTGTTGCAGGTTGTCTGGGTCACCCAATTGCGTACAGTTTAACACAGATTGTTGTCAGCTCAAGAGGTCTTCTGAGATGAAAACAAACGTGCAATTCTCTTTAAAGCTCCTGAGGTTGCCTTAAGGAAGTTATTCAATCTATAAACGAATGAATAATGAACTTTGTCAAGATTTTGTGGATTGGACTTTCGTACCTCGTGGCTATCTGGACTATCTGTGTGGCAGTGCCGCTTCTAAGTCATGAAGGTTTGTGGTACTGTTCTGTCAGATATGACCTGTTTACAAGGAACGTTGCCTCCGCCTTAGCGATGAATCACGCTCAATTCAATTCAGAGACGCGTTTGATGTCAACAAGTTTTTGATTCGATTCATTGCAAAGGGCAGGGCTAGACTTAAATTTGTTATCTTCATGCTTAATTAGCCTCTAGGCAGTAGCTAACTGTGAATCTGTCTGGCATGTCAAAGAGAATTAAATTAGTGATTGAAAGAAGCGATTACTCAATCCTGTTCTAAATGTCGTTTCACTTAAAGGTCCAGCTTAAAGATAAATATAGAAAGGCATTCTGTCCCATGCAAGTGTTGCATAAAAAAACAGAGTTTTCAAACTTTAGACGGTGTGTCTGTGTCTGATTCATCAAAAACCTCTTCCTGTGTCTCTTTCTGTACGTTTTGTACTAAATTGTCTACTAAAGATCACAACAAGGCATCCATGAGACACGCGTCCCTTTGCAAAAGTTAATCCCCTGCTAGATGCTTGACTTAGTTATACCACAGCTTTAATGAATCCTATATAACTACAAAATTTTATTCTCATGTTGACAACGAATGTATATGCAATTGATTATATTTAAAAAGCATTCGATTGCTTGTATCTAAATTTCCAGCGCAATGTGCTCTGTTCCAAACCGGTTTCGTTGGACTAAATCGATCAAAATGCATGCTGTATTCTGTAGATACTGTCGTGGCAACATAAATTGAGCAAAATCCTACCTAATCGTACTGAAAACGAAGTTTTGTCTGAATTTTTTTTTTATTAACCTATGGGATGTTTTAATTTGCTTTCTTTATTTCTGAAAAAAAGTCTGTCTAAAATCCCCAAGGGTAGCTACCTGCATTGAAGCAGTCAGCAGTCTGAATATTTTTGCACTATACTTATACCGTTTATGGATCCTTTATATTTTTTCGAATATATCAATAAAAGTATCAAATATGAAAAAAAAAATGTTTTCACATTGTACAGTACGCCGTGAGAAATGTTTTTTAAACTCGAAGTAACAGTAAACTAACTAGACCGCTTGTGTCATATCACAGGGCCGATTCAAGAGCGGATCACCTCCCATCGCCAGTTTTCATTTTGATGTGAAATCGTATTTAACTTCTTTTCGAGACATAATTCACTTTTGACTAGAAATCCTTTTTCGTTGGTGTTCAAAGTTTCTGAGTTTTACAGTAATGTTTTGGTCATATGATGTATATTCATCTACAGATGATGACTTTAGAACAATTCCCCTTATCAGGCCTCAAGGCGTGCTGAATCCAAAGCTGAAGACAGAGGTGCGGCGATTAATGGTGGGTTGGTTATAGTTACTACAGATGTAAACATTGTTAGTCAAATTTTGTCACCACTGAATTTTTTCATTTTGTTCCTTTGCATGGGACTCTAAAGCCACCAGCCGCCGAGTATGATGGAATCCAAACTCCTCTTCATTAAACTTTCAGGGCTATTGTAATTACTAAAAGTTATGAAAACATACCACCACAGAGAAAGTGTTTTGTCGTCTGACAAATAATGTAACCATAACTCTTTTTTTTTTTTTTTACAAAATTACGATCAACTTTCAAAAAGATGAAATAAGATAAAGTAATTTAGCTTAAATATGTCGCTACCTCTGGCTGTGATCCTGAGGCAGAAAAGAGATATATTTATTTGTTTATTAATTAAATACTTGCTTTTCTTTGGGCTGATATATATGATCCCATCTTGTTTCAAAGATTACTGTGCAGAAGCGTCAACAATAGAACACCTGTTCGAGAAGAAAGCCGAGGTAAATTGCCTCTTAGGTTTTGCTATATAATTTAGTAGCCGCCTCTGAAGCAAAACAACATGGTGTGTATATAGTACTTCAGTGGAGAGACAATATATTTTATAAATTGTTAAATATCTGATATCTCTCAGATTTATCTATTTATTTTTGAAGCAACTGCATCGCAAGACACTTTGAACAGGATCTATTGAGCACGAAACGAATTTAATTTGTTTAAAGCGAAAAAAAATATTAAAACTGATGAAATGAAGAAACGGTAAAACGGACAACAAACGTTTGTTCGTATAGACGTCAGGAAGTCCCAACTTCAGGTGTCTCACAGGAATCAATACTGGGTCCCCTCATCTTTACATATACGTGGCAGACCAGCAAGAGACCCCCCAATGTCCGTCTCACAAATATGCAGATGATACAACCTTCTTTCTGTATCGATTCTCTTAATTAAGGGTGTAACTTGGATGATTGTGCTTCGGAATTCTCTCCTTGAGGGCTATTTGGCTGATTACAATTATACTCTTAACGCGTCGAAGCCTAAGTGGATGTTACTATCTACAAAGCACATGTCTCGATTGCATAGTTTGGAATACATCCCATAAAAGAGTGTTTTTCAGTTATTCTGCAAAACAAGTTGTACGGTTTTTTGCCAGTTTATTTTTACGCCGATACAATGCTTACAAGATTTTAAGGAGAGTCTGGACCCTCTTGACTGTCCTGGCAAAAGCCCCCTGCTAAACGCTGAGTACGGCTTCCAGCGTCGGTAATTTTGCTTGATATTTTTGCGTGGAAGAGTAACAAAAAAAACATAAAAGAAATGTTAATGTATCTGAAAGCTTTGTACTTTTCCTTTTGAACAGTGTTACAATGGAAATCTGACAAGCTCACAAAGTGGCTATACAATTCCCTAATGAAAGGACGAATCAGCATGGAAATCAGTAAACGGTCAATCGGTTGGATTTACGTAATGAATGAGTAGTGGAAACGTGTTATGAACTGTCGGAAACGTTGCAGTCATAAATGAATAGACTTTCATGACTATAAACTGCACAAATCGTAACTGGAGCCATGGACGTGTCTGGGGAACAGAGGCGCTTTCTGTCAATGACGCTAAAAGAAAAGTTAATATAAATAGGGCAAATACGAAAAAAAAAAAAAGTGACGGGACAGGTGGATTTTAAGGAATCCATTCATAGGCGCAACAATTAAACGCTATTCATGTAACCTTTTTGATAAATAGTAACATGTACACAACCTTGATAATCCCATCAGGAAAGCAGCGTCTGCTTTTACCTATAACTTCGAATTTTGTGCATTTTACTAATATAATCACTTATTGTAACTCATATTAGTTTAAAGAAAGTAGCCTGTGAGCAAGTTCTCCGGGGCGATCTGGGCCCCGCCTCCCGTATAAAAAATCCCCGGAGAAGTTGCTCGCGGACTATTTTAAAATGGTATTCTTATGTAAGGCAATTTTACCGAATATGAAGAAATAAAATTGTATTTGAGGCCTTTTTGTGTGTTTCAGTATTACTACGAGATCGGTTCATAAATGTACCATGAAGGAAAGCGAGTAATTTCGTTTCGTTGTGTCATATTTATCAGCTTAAGAGTTGGCAAGTTTATACTCTCACTAGTGTTCTAATGAGTTCCAAAAGCTAAAATCCGACTAAGGAGATGTAAATGCTGCGTTAAAGGGGGAAACTTTCTGGTAATATCGGAGTGAATGCCTGTAAAGCTTGGCTTGTCCATGATCGTCTGGATCGTCCCAGTCGTCTCAATTAACGTTCAGACGATCGAAAAAATCATATGGAAACGCTACTCGATCGCAAACAACCCGGACGGCTGAGACGATCTCGATCCCTTGGATAGAGTTGAGTTCTAATGCTCTCAGACGACTGGGACGATCGGGACGATTGAAGGCTATCCCAGAAATCATTACTATTACACCAGTAATCGAGAATAAATTCGGCCTTGACGCCAATGAAGTCGAAAAAAATAACACAAAAATGTTCGCATCGCACATGGGCACTATTTAAAACTAGAGAAAGTCCGTTTCATCAATTTTTGGACGTGGTGCTATGTCGTCGTGGAGCTCTCCTAGCTTGTCGACGCCACAAAATCGAGAGAAAAAGCAGATAGCAAAGTTCTGACCCAGAGACACAGCTGACGACCCCGCGTCGAAAAAAAAAAAGAAAACAATACAATTTTACATCCTCCGTAATGAAGAAGTCAGGTTAACAGTTTGACGTCGATTTTTTAATAGATGAATGTAACTTTACAAAGCCTTTTATTTCTACATCTAAAGAAAACACTGATTGATATCTATATACAGAAATTTACTTATATTCTTTAGGATTTACATACTGAAGTCTCTACTGTCTAGTTCTAGGTTGACTTTATGCCAAACTTTCTGAAGTCTGAGAAATGATGAGTGAAGGAGACCCGAAATAACAAAATTGCAGGGCACAAAAACGCTGTTCATCCCTGTTTGTCCTCCAAACGAACATCTAACATGCGCTATAAGCAGCTCTGATAAATGCTTAAATTAAGGCTTCGAATATGAAACCTATAAGCAGCTCTGATAAATGCTTAAATTAAGGCTTCGAATATGAAACCTGGAGTAAAATGTAAGCCGATGTTCTGCTGCCCCAAGCGATCGTTTTGCGGACACTCCTAAAATTGAAGACATTTTTATAATATGAGCCCCCCTGAAAATGGCATGCCACGGTATCTCTGATAATCATACCATTTTTCGGTGGTCACGAGATTTAGAGAGAGTAAGAATCGATGAAGGAAACGTAAAATATTTGCCTCTTTAGGTTGACTCACAGTTTAATAATGATTCACGGCTTTGTACAAATACGGCACTTAAGACAAATTTTAAACAGAGTAAGGGCGATACTTTGGTAGTTTCCAATTGTTACCAGGCTGGTTGGTAATCCTTTTTAGATTTCTACCCCCCTGAAGCATGGTTATATAATTCGATTTTTCAATCAATTATTTGATTGTTTGGTTGATTTTTGGAAGAGCTGGAATTGACTTAAAGTGCGTTTCCCTGACCATAAAGGTTCTTGGCCTGTTTACAGCTGTTACAAAATTGTTCAGCTCTTGACCTTTGCTAGGCATCGTTGGACTTTGTGCTTTAGATACTGAAAACGCGGTTACATTTGATGACCGTCTGAGGAGTATTCTAAGTAACATTTAAAAGTTCATTTAAGATGCAACTTTTATGAAATCTCGTTTAATACGCAGATTTGCGTTTTAGAAAGTTTTATACGGTTTTATGAATGTGTTTTGTGTATCAAATACCTCTTTAATAATTTTTCAGCTAATGTGACATTCGGAAACTTCTTGGTGGATTCCATTGGGCAAGACAGGACAGTTTTCCCAAAGAATTTATAATAAATTATTATAGTTTGTTTGTTACGCAGGAATTGATTGCCACCAGGGATTTTCGTGAACGCGAATTTTACTCTCGTTATACAAAAACACCAAATTTTCAGCTTTTAATTTAGGCTGCATCCGATACATTTTAAAACCAATACTTTCATCCAGGGTAAGTAAACAAGAACATTTCCTCAATTTGATGTCTTTTAAAGATTTAAGTCTCTATGAGAACGCGAAAGCCTAGTCTCGCCTTTAAAATCAGGAGCGTTTCTCTTAAAGTGTTCTTTTAAGATGCTAGGTAGTTCTTCGCTTCCTCGTTTTGACATCTTGTATTCTTTTTCAATTTCTACCGCTCTTTTCTTTATTTGGGTTTTTATGCTTGAAACAGTGTCTTGGAAAACAGGAATATCCAAGATGGCGGCCATAGCTTCTTTGGCCTGCTGGGTAACGGCTTGATGACCTTCCTTGTAGTCTTTCACCTCCTGTCGGATGGATTCCGCAAGTTCTGGAAGCAATATTAAAAAGAAATGTTAATGAGGCCGTGTTAGGGCCGGGTAAAATTCCGACCAGCGCCATGTAATTGTAATTTTGTAACTGTAATTTGTTTACTTATGGAGTAATAATGAGTTTTTAAGACCTAGTTGAAACGTGTCCGTGTGAATTGGAATAAGGAGAGGAGATAACCGGAGTACCTAGAGGATAAAAAACCCTCGGAGCGAGGAGGAGAACCAACAACAAACTAAACCTATATATGACTTTGAACCCGGGCCACATTGGTGGGAGGCGAGTGCCCTCACCGCTTGTTCCCCAAATGGAGCACGGCCGTAAAACAGCTACATAGGCCAGATGAAATGGTAGCAAACGACATAAATATGGGTTGAAACTACGACAGCGACGAAGAGAATCGCAAATACAGTCACTTGCGTTTAATACTGACAGGGACATGGCTTCCTCCTCACTTTGCGAGGATACCACTGGTTTTGAAATTCAGACTAGGGATCTAATAACCCCTCTCGAAGAAGACTTCATTGATGCTACAACCACTTGCAAAAATACTTGATACACTCCACCTTATTTTGGCCTAACAGACCTGCTTATGCCCTTGTGCTTGTGATCCCTCCTCCTCCTCTTATCAAAGTTGTTAGCAATACAAGACCATGCTCAAGACTTGGTAGAACAACNGGGGGGGGGGGGGGGGGGGGGTCACACATCTGTGAGATATAATACTCGCCCAGCAGCGATTTGAAGTAAGAAAGGCTGATTTTCCTTCAGAGCTAGACTAAGTGTCTCAACACGTTTGCAAAAAATCTAATTTAAAAGTAAATGAATAATTTACCTGGTACAGGTTTTATTTAGTCTATTTCGCCTGGTAGATCCATCTTCAGTTATAGATCAAAAATGATATATCAAAATGTGGAAAGAACGCAAATGTAGAACAAGACTGACTTTCTACGATCTGTCACTCAACTTTCCGTTATGCGAACGTGTCTGTTAGAAAACATTAGGGTGGATAAAAGTAATTTGACCGTAACTAACGATAACAAAATGAGACCCCAAAGAGTAATTCATAACTTATTTATTTTACCACGGAAACGGGCAAAAGACTTTTTCGAACACAGTCATCTCATACGTAATAACGAAGGGTATTAGTGGGGAGTCCGGTTTGGCTATTACTGATGGCAGAATTCATATTTAGACGTTATTCATCATACCATTAGCTTTCTTGACTATGGTTTCTCTGATGGTAGTTCGTAGCTTGTTTTTCACTTGTTCCCTCTGACCTTCTGGTACGTCCATTTGTTGCATTACATCTTGTTTCATTTGTTGAACAACTTGCTGTAGATTAATCAATGTCTTCTTTGACTGATAAATATCCAGTATCAAGGACATTAGATTTTCAGCTCCTGAGATAAAACAATAATGACATCATTTATTTGCTAATTTTCCCCCGACAAATGTTAAAAAAAAATGAGTTGATAAAGCTACGAAAAGAGTTGATTTCAGATAATTTTTAGGCGGGCAATACGTTTTCCTGTCACACTGGTAAATAATCAAGCGATCCACACCAGAAAATTAAAGTAATTAAGAGATTCGGGATTGAAACTATGAACGACGATACTGGGATGTCAAAAATAATCACCGGAATTAAAGGGATTGAGAGAAATTCAAGCCACGAGTTCCAGAAATAACGGGAAAGGGTATACAAGCTTTTGGCGCAAGGATTTCTGGGATCATTTGGGTAGACAGGCGTAACTTGTGATCGGTTAATGGTTACCTTGAATACCATCGACCAATCATAACCAAGGCTTGTCCACCCAAACGATCCCTGAAATGATTGCGCCTAAAGCTTGTACTTATTCTCCCTCGAGTTTCTGGAGTGGGGAATTGGAGATTTTCGAAAAACAAATCATGCAAATTAATGCTAAGGAATATAAGGTTATCAATAAAGATAATCCAGTGCATAAACTTTACTAATAGAAAACAAAATGAACGAATTGACAGTGGGTGACCATAATTAAAT